AGAGGTACATTTTTTTTTTTTTTATTGAATTTCATTTCAAAGAGTTGATTTCTCTTTGGATGACAAAATCTATATTTTATTTTATTTTATTTTTTTTTTTACAAGTTTCTGTATAGCACATAATTTCTGGTGAAGATCGACCAGAGATATTTTGAAATAATATTCAAAATAATATTTTGTTAGAATTTGTGGGATAAGATGTTGCTGATATATATAGTTTCAGTTGGACAATTTCTTTGTAGTAGTAGAATTAATAGAATTCATACCTACTTGCTTATTGTGCACATGATACTTTAATTTCTGCTAGACTACTCAAAACTTACAGACTACAGTCAGAAATTACCTTGACATTTATAGAACCATTAATGATTCTAAATTGAAATGGGGGAAAAAAAAAAAAAAAAAAAAAAAAAACCTAATTGTAGTTCCATGGCATTAAATATAACAAATTACAGATTTCTATGCTTATATATCAAGCTATTATTAATTGGTCAATCATTTTGGAAGAAAATAAAAAGAAAAAAGGTGGAGAAGTGAGAGTAAATAAGTCATAATATTTTGTTAGAATTTGTGGGACAAGATGTCGCTGATATATATAGTTTCAGTTGGACAATTTCTTTGTGTGCGTGATGTTTTTCTATTTAAGTAGGTATTTTTGGATTTTGATAACATAAGAGTACAAAATAAATATTTTCTTAATTATATAAGTTAGTTTTAGTAAATTTCACTATGATTGCATTAGATATTTTGAAGGCCACTGACAGGTCATGATAGAGCATTGCTGCACAAGCTCTTCAACTAAGGAATTACTGGAAGAATCTTAATTATCAAGACCTTCCAAATAGATAGGTTCCTGAAGGTAGTTGCTAATAGCTAGCCCCCCAAGGCTCAAGTGATCAAAGCATGTTCAACTTTCTCTCTACTTTACATTAATGATCTACCTAAAAGTATACTCCAATCATTTGTGAATATCTATGCTGATGATACGATGGTATATGAGTGCACCTCCAAAATTTTAGATGACCAATGCCTGCTAGCCGATTTCTCCTCAGTGGAGAAAAATTAGCTAGTCACATTCAATGCCTCAAAAACCAAACCAGTGACATTCAATCATCAAGTAGACCCTGAATTTTGGTCTATCACAATGAATGGGTATTCTTACAGGGAGGCTATGTATCTTGAACACATATTGGAAGTTAAGCTCAACCCAGACTTCAAGTGGAACTTGTACATATGATTCATCATGAAAGATGTTGAAAGAATGGTTGGTTCCTGGTGCCATTCTACAAATCCAGTAAGTACGTGAATATCCTCTTCCTTTATAAGAGCAAGATTGGGTTGAAAGTAGAGTACTGCTGCAATATATGAGAAGGAGCTACCTAGTCTTCACTTTACAATTCAAAGCATCTACATAGCCTTGTGGGTGATGTATTATTTTCCATCCTACAACCATTTTACTACCAACAAAACATTGCAAGCCTCTTTCTACTCTATTACTATTTCCATGGAAAGTGTTCAGATGAACTACATCGCTTAGATCTAACCTTCACAGCTAAGAACCATCATGCCACACATATTGTAGTGAACCACCATCATTACCTTTGTATTCCACCAGCGAGATGCAAGTTCCTCTCAAACAGCTTCTTCCCACAAACTGCTACTATTTAAGAAGTGATTCCCAAGAGCATACTTCCCCAATCATTATAATCTTAACATGTTCAAGTCTAGGGTCAACCATTATCTTCCCCACATATACCCATAAACTGTGCTTTTTACTTTGTAACCCTCTACCATGAGTGGCACTTGTACAGGATGAACATTCTATTAAAAAAAAAAAAAAATTAACATTTGCATATTGCTCAGTCATTTACTTATAATGCTGTAATTTCAAATTTTCAAATACTCTTCAGTTACAATAGGTTAACAATATGTATCAATACAAATTAAAATTTGACCAAGTAAACAGTACATAAAGTTTAATAACTGCATAAAAGGTTCTGTGAATTTGTTTTAAGATTTTCACATGAGAGCTTATTAAAAAAATAAAGTATATTAAATCTGGATTTTTTCCAGCTGTTTATTTGTTTGTTCAAACAAAACGTAATATTGGAAGTGCTCTTATTGGACAAGGGAAGCATGGAGTTTTGAGAAAATCTTGGTTTAACCCACTTTCTAAAAATCACTATTCTGATGTTGTGTCATGGAAATAATAATTTTTGGGAAGTGGGTTATTCTGAAAGTTTTTCAGCACCACTTTGTATATGTACATTAGGTAAGCTGCATTTTCATGCTCTTTCTTAATAAATGTAAGAAGTCAAATCAAATGTTGCTTTTATATAATAAGAAAAAGGATAAGAGGAGAATAAGATTTGTATCAGGACTTCATACAACAGTAGAAAGACATTGTATGATTTGCACCCTAAATATATTTCATTAATTTATCTTTACCCAGCTACCTTGTACACTAGCCACATATAAAAAGAAGAGTAGAGCTTATATCAAACTGAAAGAATAATAATAGATTGACTGTAGTCATTGTGAAATCCATAATCTTGTTGATGGCTGCATAGTATGTGCTATATCAGGGCTAGATATGGCTTTGAATTTTGAGTTATACCTCTTAAATTGGATGCCAACTATGATTAGAGCCCATAAGAGATGGATTCATACCTTTCCCAACAGTATTTGCACAAAAGTGAACATAATAAATTTAGCTGAAATTTGAACTCAGCTTGCCGATTTCTCATTCCAAACTGCTAACCATTACACCACCTGCACATCCAAGAGAAAAAAAAAAAAGATGTGAAGAAAAATCTAATTTTGTAACAAAACAGCTCAATGATACATTAATTGTATTAGAAGACTTTGCTATTCTCACAGCTACTTGCCTTGTTCTGGGCTAGCCAGATATGTATAGCTTATTTGTCTCATACTCTTAAGTGGTTGAAGAAAATTCACAAATTTTAAAAAATGGGGTCTTTATATGTCAAAACACAATTGCCAAAGTTTTAAGAACACAAAAATTCTGTAATCAGAAGATCTTAGCGTTAAGAATTGCCAATATGTCAGATAAAAAATATGACAATCATAAATAAAATGAAAATAAAAAGCAATTAAGAAAAAATTTAAGTAAAATAACTGAACACTTGCACAAAGATAAAGGCCTTTAAAAGAGCCAGAAGTAAACAAACATATCTTAATTTATTTAGACAAAGTATTTAAAAAAAAACAATATATAAAAAGGCGAAAAAAAAAAAAAAAAAAAAATAAAAAAAAAAGAAAAAAAAAGAAAAAAAGTAACACTTCTAGGCAATTTCTTCGCAAGAATCTTATTGAACATCTAATAATCTTTCAAAAAATATTTGTTTTAAAGAGAGAGTTGAAACATTAATTGCTTGAAATAATAAAAACTAAAATCTAAGGACTAATTCATCAAATCTTAATATGTGTAATTGCCTTGAACTGTTTACATTACATAAAAGATCTTGTTTAGAAAGATCTATTTTACTTGTGTCAGATCATTGCACTTTATGTCTATATAAATTATACCATATCTTACAATATTTAGTAAACAAGATAATACACAGGTACACAGTGAAGTATCTTTGCCAGTATCACATCTAGTTAATTTTCAATTGAATTAAATGATATGCTTACCAAAAGAACAAAAATACAAAACAAAATTACATTTCCGAGATTGGCATATTTAAAATATCTTGCCCTCTTATAGAAATTCAATTTAAAAAAAAGAAAAAAAATGATTTTTAAACCCTTAAATAATTGGACAGGAGCATAATCTTAAAGCAAAAGTTTAATTTATTAAGGACTACAGATTTTTCTTTTAAGTGAAAATAGTGAATTGTTCATCTAAATATGCTTACTTGCATCAGCTGAGAAATATTTTAAATATTAAGGTTAATATAAATGGATACGACAGCAAATTAAGTGATGTATCTTATTTGCAACATTTTTTTCACTATTAATTTTTTTTAAAATAGAGTCTTCAAAATGTTCTCTATTTTGTATGTTAGAATGGATGTGAAAAGATGGGCAAAATGTGTGTTGCCAATCAATATTAACTGCTTTGGCAGTAGCTAAAATTAAAATTATTGCTTCACTAAAAAAGGAGTTGCTAATTAATCTCAAAAAGTAAATCCTTTGAGAAACAATATTCAATATAACTCTGGATTAGCCAGGTTTACACACTACTTTGAAACAAAGCCATTCAATTTTCTATATTATTTTCCTTCATGATTTCTCCAGTTTTAATTTGTAAATATGTTATTTTACACATAGGAGTAGGAAAAAAGTGTTATTAATAAAAACACTATTGTCATTTGATAATATCTATAAATATTTTAATTACTCAAGGTAGAAATTTTATTTTTCAGCATGGTTTTATAAAGTTCAGTTGAAGCTATTGGATGCAACTACATAATCATCACAGTCAAATGCTATTTCATTTTGTGCAAATGTTACTAGTATAAATTAATGAAAATACATTTTTTTCTTATTCACTTTTAGTACATTCAAATGAAGTAATATATTTTTGATAGCAAGTACTTCCTAAATGTCAACATTAAAGTCTTTTGTTTTTTTCCAATCACATGACTATTACAAATATACCAACTCATAATCATCCCCGCCCCCACCAACATAGGGGAAAAAAATCTTTGTTAGGAAATATTAATTTGGAGTGCTTTATAAATATTTTGCTTTAAAGATAAGTAATTAAAAGGCAAGGAGATTCACTTTAATACATTTTTAAAGTTACATTTGAGTGTGATGTGCTATTCATAATTTTATAAGTAAATTAATTAATCACAACAGTGCATGAAAAACAAAGATGTAGAAATTACTACTGGGAAACTAGAATAGCTATGCTGGTTGTAGCCATGCTAATGAGAGTGCACATTTTCTTTAAACTGAGTAACACTAACTACTGCAAGGGTTGGGGGATCACAAAAACAAGTAAAAATGGACAAAATTAATAGAAATACCTTTAGCAGCTCGATTTCTGGCCTTGAAATATACCTCTTTTGCTATAGATTCTATTTCAGTGTTGGTAACTTCCAAGAGGATTTCAGTAAGGTATCTACGAACTTTCACTTGCTGTAAAAATGATATCCAAAGTCATAAATAATTTTCTTCAAAAGAAAAATAGGACAAATTACAAAGTAAATTGATTTCAATTATTTCAATCATTGTTTTAAAAATGATATTTTTTAACAGTAGACTAAACTGATACTTTCATCCTCAAAAGTTGTTAGAGCAACTTATGGAATAATAATTCATCTGAAAATTTCAGACAATATTTTAAATTAATATAAATCTCATCTACTTGCATCTATCTTCTAGTTACACACTAGAAACTTCAAAATAATCACACACAAATGAGAATTGCAATGCTAGCATAATGTTCAAATTTAAAAATGTCTGCATATTCTATATAATGTAAATGAAACAAGTTAATATTTGCTTCTTTTCTCACTATTATATTCACACAAAAAGCTTTTGAGAGTACATGGAATACGAAATTTGCTTTGCCAACATAAACAGAAACATATACCACATATTGCCCATTTCAGTATTGCTATTTAATTATACTAAACTTTTTCTGTAACATTCAGATATTTCTGAGATGAGGTATTGTAATAATTTACATTATTTGGACTGTTGCCCTCATCTTTATTGTCATGTTCACAACATTTTGGTTGTTGTACACTCAGCCTTCTTCAGGTGATTGGAATTTCGAACTGAACCCTTTATTTAGTCCACTGGGATAGATTGTTCCAATTTCATGTGCCATACATCACTTATCTCCCTTCAACTCAATTCTCCAAGTTCTTTGTTCACCAATGTTGTAGCCGGGTATTGAATTCACAACTTTTTGGGTCAAGTCACTGAATCCAACCAACACTTATCCACTGGGCCATGTATCCTATAAGAGTATGAATTTTTGGGACTTATAAATGTAATGTCTTAGCAACCATTCTTTTTTTTTTTTTTTTTTAAACCAGAGGTTACGTTGCAATTTTTGTTATTATTGCTTTTCTCTAGCACTCCGTATTACTGGTTCCCATATTGTATTCATTTCCTTGCTTGACCAGCTTAGATTTTTGTGGCCTTGCATATGTGCTGATTCCTTAAGTTTTCATACTTTCCAGTGATGTTCTCTATTATTTCAATCTCCTCCCAGAGGGAGCAGTGATCTCCCTTTTCCCTCCATATGTGGTCAGCTATGCATAATTTTTTAAATTTCCCCTTGTGTTATGGTTTAATGATGTTCTTGCAGAATTACCTTAAGGGGTGGCCTGTTTCTCTTTCATATTTCTTACCACAACTGCATGGGATGGCATACACACAGTCCTTAGTCATGTTCTCCTCTATGGAGAGGTAGGGATGTCTTACTTGAAAGAGGTGTGTGCGAAGTGTTGAATCACTTTTGAAGAGGCATGACACGTGGAACTAGAACAATCTTGGTGGACGAAATAAAGGGTTCAGTTTGAAATTTCAATCACCTGAAGAAAGCTGGTGTGTACAATGCCCAAAACATCACAAACATGACAAGAAAGATGAGGACAACAGTCCAAACAATGTAAATGTATATATCACACTTATTTTTTATTTAAAAGATGGACAGAAAATTTTGTATAAAAAAAAAACAAAAAAAACAAACAAAATAAGTGCACAGACAGTAAAATGTGCACACCTATCTTTCAAATAATTACAAATATTTCAATTAGTTTTCTTACATATAATTGTTTAAAACATTGTAATTTTTTTTACCCTTTAATTCTTGATTACAGTAAGTCATGAATGATCAAAATAGTTTTAGATGCAACTCAAATTCACATCCTATAACTTGAAAGCTTTTCTTTCAAAAATATCCTTTAACGAATAAAGCTACAAAATGCTGTTAAGACAGGTTCTCATCTTTAATCTTTTGCCACTGTTTGTTTATTCCATATTGTATTGATGACTACATAGTAATATTCGTTTGTGAGATTAAGTATTTTTATATTTACTAATATTAACTAGTTTTCCTTTATATCTGCTATTTTTTAAAAGTGTATGTTTGCACAATATTTTTTTAGCTAATCAGTCCTTCAGCCATTAAACCATACTACACTTTTCAGATCCCTAAACTCATCAGTTGAAATTTGTGATAAAAACAAAAAGTTCAAAGTCAGAATATTTGTAATTAAGAATATAATTATCAGTTATTACTATGTGAATTGCTGTTCTTTCATTCTCTCATTATCTAACAAAATGAAATTTAATGAAGAATAACTCTAGTTATACCACAATATTATAAACATGGCATATTAATGGACAAATAAAAACGAATTTAGTATGTAACTTAAGTGATTTTTCACTTCTCCAATGAAAGTTAAATTTGACCTCTCAAATTCATTAGTTTTAGTTTATTTTAATAACTTGTAAAAAAAAGTCTAAGGACAAGGATAAGCAAAGAATACAAGGTTTAAATAACTATATCAATATCAAAACATCTTTAAAAAAAAAAAAAAAAAAAAAAAAAGTCAGTCACTCTGTTTACATGTTGATTGCAGCCATAATATCACGGTTTAAAACTTATAATACCTCTCATTCTGATTTAGCAATTTATATCTCTTTCGTGAAAGTAGAGTGTATGCTCTGGAATAAAACTTAAGGTATGAAAAAGAAATCAAATAAGTCATATGTACTTCAGTTAGTGTGATTGCTGTAACATGTTCCCCAGTAGATATTCACAACTGACTGTAACAAAAAGCAATACAAATATTCTCAGGTCTAGTCATCTTATAATCTTAATTCACTCAGATACATCAAAATCAGTCATTTTCCCCTGCAGAGGCATCTACCGCAGTATAAAGTTGTCCAATTGAACACCCTAATAGTTACCAACCCAATCACCTATCACATTTGGTTACAAATTTTCAGCCAATACTCAATAAAGGCAGACTGAAGGTAATGTGTTAGTTTTAATTTACGGAGAAATTTACATAATGTTAATTGGGAAAAAAAAAATTCTCAATTTTTTTTCAAGTGATTCTTGTGTATCAAATGAAACAACCTCCAATTGTTTGTTTCTTATAAAAATTGGCATTATACCAGTCTCTTATGGCAAAATCACTATAAAAAAAAAAAAAAAAAAAAAAAAAAAAAAATCCTGAGAAAGCAGACTTAGAAAACTTACTAATTCTGCTTGTTTCTCCTCTTCAGTTTTAAATTCATCAGGAGATGGAGAACATTTTTCAATTTTAGAAAATCTGGGTTCATGATCACTTTTTACAGCTCCTTCCTCATCAGACTCCTTTGAAAGATACACAAATAGTAGAGAATACATTAAGTAAAATATTTCTAGTAAATTAAATACAAACAAGTAGAATACCTCAAATTGTAATAAAAATAAACTACATATCCAACATGAAGTTGGAGAAAAATCTTTATAAAGAACAGAACAAATGTTTAACATTTATTCAACCTTCTTAAGCTCCAAACTCTTAAAAAAACAATTGTTATAAATTCCTTTATTCAATTACACAGCATTAAGAATCTTTATTTAACAAAATATAACAAAGACTTGGGATTATTTCAGTCAAAAATCAAATTTGTAACAATGTTCTGCGGTAGCCGTAGGACATAGACACAGAATAATTGTTGAGGTTAAAAAATGGGATGCTGGTGTAGATTTTTATCAGGCAACATTAGTAAGGGTGCAATAGAAATACATGTCCTTGAGATAGCAGCAGCACATAAAAACAGTGCCCCCACAGATGACATAAGTGCCAATGGTCTGAAAATGATGGTAAACCAATAAAGGGAAAAGTATTTCAAATTACATCTCTATTTAATGCTAGTATCACTAAAAACAGTTAATGCACTGTACAGTGTACATTGTATTCTATGGGGCTTCATAGAACTTGACCAACAAGGGTACCATTATTTTTACCACAGCATTGGTTATTTTGCCTTATCTGGGCATGAGAATAACATCACTGGACTGGAAAACTGATGCAATGTCAACTGGTCAGACATGTTTCCAGCTCTTTCAGGCAGATAGTAAAGTTTTTTGTGGAGGAAACTGCTTGATACTTTAGCTTCATTCCTATCAGTATGGTGTTGTATAAGGTAATGGTAGCTTTATAATAGTTTGGGGTATGAGTTCTGTTGGACCACTAATGAAACTTTAATTTGTCTTGACAGGAGCAACATGCACAAATCTTGTAGAATATTTGCACTTTTATGCTCACTAAATTCCCCAGTGATGATGAGGATTTGTCCTAGTAAAATAATGCACCCCAACCATGCCATTCCATTGTGCACAGGTGAGACAAAACTGATTCTCAGAATATGGAACACAGATGATTTCAGAATATTTCACTGGTCTGTGCACTCATCACATTCAAATCCTATTGAATATCACATCCAAAAACAACGCAGGACTGCAGTCCTGGAATGATATACCTTCAGCAATGACTGCAGCAACTTGTAGACTCCATGCTACATCACACAGCTGTCATTATTCAGGTAAAAGGAAAATTGTTAGGTAAATGTCTAATTTAAATGGTATTGATATGAAATTACCTAGAAATAATATAGCTTCAAATACAAGAGTTATTCTTTTGCAAATAGTAAAATTCCACAGCAAATTAAAATAATGTACTTACTATAGATAATACATGAAATCAGTCTATATAGAAATGACAGCATATACAGTATTAAATTTAATACAAATCTGATAATACAATAAAAGGATTGTGTGTTTTTTTTTTTTTTTTTTTTTTTTTTACAAGTTTGTTCCTTCAATATTTACTTTTAGTGAAGAAAAATTCATCATTCAGAATAAAGTATAATGCATATTTGTTTTTATATTAACTGTTGAGAGGAAAAAAGATGGATCATTTCAGAATTCAGGGATTTAATCAATATATGAACTGAATGTGCAAAGTTATACACATAAAAAGTTACTCACAAAGCGACTTTTAGAAGGAAAAGATTCCTTTTCATTATCACTTCTTTTCTCTTCTGCATTTTCCTTTAAAACTGCTTCAGCATCTCGCTCTGCACTTTCTTGGGCTTTTAAAGCTTCAAATTGTTCTTTGTCTTTTCTTTCCTTTTCTAACTTTTTTTGCTTGTCACGTTCCATTTTCTCTAAACCTTCTCTAATCCAAGCAGGCAAGTTCTTCCTTTTTGTAGCATCTAATTGTGTAAGGAGAAAGTAGAAAGGAAAGGGAGGAAAAAATATGCATAAGAAAAATACCATAATGCATGTATTTTGCATTCCCAACTGATGATGAGTTGGCAAATTTTAATACTTCTATTATCAGGGAGAGGTATAGTAATTTTTTTTTTTTGTGCATACATAATAGTTTGTTCAGGAAGTAATAATACATTTTCAGAGATAAAAACAGATGCAAAGTTAAATTTTATTAATTATTATCAATTATAAGGGCCAATAAAATGGCAATTTTTTAATTTCTATTAATAGGTTTTCATAAAGAAACCTGAACTAATATCTCATTTCTGAATGCCTTAGTGTACCCTCCAAAAATTTTCTAATAAAGAGCATATCATGATGAAAAAAAAGCCCCAAACTTGATAAAAACAAAGTTGTCAAAATGTTTGTTGTTACTAAGAGGAAAGACCAAAGCACTTTTTGATTATTTTATTAAATTTTTTTAATCCTTTCTAGTATGTTTGAAATTTTAGCTTTTGAATGAAATTATTTTGTTTTTTTAGAAAATCTTGGTAAAATCATTTTTTTTATAGCTGTTATCCCTACTTAATTTTATGAAATTTTTAGAAATAAGTTTCAGCCTCTTCATATTTATATTAGTTAAAAGCAGGACTCCTTTTACTGAAAATCTGCTCTGAATCATAAAATTAAAAATAAAATAAAACTATGACATTAGTTAATTAGAAAAGCTTTTAAAATTGCTTTTATAAATAATATATAGTGAGATATTTATAAAAGATACCAAAATGTAAAACTGCAGATGATCACAAACCTAATAGCATCTGTATAATCTTTTAATGCTTGTTAAAAAAAAGAGAAAAAAAAATTGTTGCTTATGAGAATTTAGAGTTTAAAACCCATTGCTATAATGTAGGACTTTATTCTTAAATGAATCTTTTCATCTTCTAAAACTTTAATCATTTATAATTCCCATTTTTTTATGTTGTTAATTTATCAAAGAACTGTTGCAATATAAAATCTTGTTATGATAATAGTGTTGCAATTCATTACCTAAAATATGTATTATTAAAAAAGAAAATTGAAACTCAAAGTGAGAAATATGTTGGCAAATACAAACCAATTCCTGTATCATCAACAGGATTTGCTGGAATATGGGGTTTTGAAGGAGATCTGCTCCGGTTTCCACGGCTTGAGCGGAAATTTCGGTTCTGATTTGAATCATGCCTCCAACTGTCTTCACTCTGTACAGATTTAAAAAAAATAAAAAATAAAAAATAATAAGGAGATCAGAAAAAAAACAAGAACAAACTATTAAAGATACAAAATTATATATATCTGTGGGTAAATAATACAGGTAGAGCCTATTAATATTAAATATTAAAACTGATCCAGAAAAGAGAGCCTCAATATATTTATTATACAGCATAAAAAATGAAACCCAAATGAATCCATTCAGATGGCCATTTCCTCCCCTCGAGAGTCAATGCAAACACATTTGTTGAAAAAAAAGGAATTTTAACGTTTTTTTTTTTTTTTTTAAATTTGAAAAATAAAAACAAAGGAAGGAAGGAAAGGGAAAAGAAGAGGAGCAACAAACAACATATAATGGAAATGGCATTTATAGAGAGGTAGAGAGACAAAGAAACTAAGGTGGTTATGGTAGGAGAACAGAAACAAGTCTAGATAGAAAATATAGACAAGTATTAGATGAACAATGACCTAAATTTAACTCTTGTACAAATGAAAAAAAAAAATAACAAAAAAAGCTAACTTAACTTTTAAGAAAAAGAGGAGTTTAAAATATAGATACCAAAAAAAAAAAAAAAAAAAAAAAAGTTAGAATTCATTTCTTTTAACAAATGTATTTGCATTGACAAGTTCCAGTGAATATCTCCCGTGGGGAGACAAAATGGCCATCTGAATGGGGTAATTTGGGTTTATATATATATATATATATATATATATATATATAAAAAGTTAATTATTTCCCAATTAATAATTTTATCAATGTACTTGTAAAATAATGAATTTTATGTATTTTTAAGTGTATTTCTCAAATAACTTCATATGAATTAAATTTTTATTTAATGAGTATTTTATCTTTCTTTAACATTAAAAATCCAGTGATACGCGTGCGCACACACACACACTTTTTTGAGAAGTAATTACCAATACGTCCCATTATGTTCAATGCTGAAATGTCAATAAAAACTAAAATAAAATTTCAAATGTGGTTATAAATCAAATTCCTCTGGTTCTTTTTTTTGAGGGAGGATTAACTTGGTATGAAATTCAGTTTCTGTGTACTTTATGCTATTCTAGTGAAATGGGAGGTAAGCAAATAAACAGTTATTTATAATTTATATGATTGTTTCTCAGTAAATATGGATTCTGCATAAATAAGGATCTTTCAACTAGAGTAATCAGTCAGATTTTATACACAATTCACTAAGAAAAAAGTCCTTTCTATTCATCTATATTGCTTGTAATGTCTTTATAGAGTACAGAAATGTCTCCTTTGTCTCCCATATAAGTAAATCAAATGAAAAGACTTGAAAACTTCATTTTATATAAACAGATACACAAAAGAATCATCTGCATTTACCCCCCCCCCAAATTTTTTTTTAGAACAATTACATTTTAAAAAAATATTTTAATTGGAAAAAATGACATTTAAAATATTTAGCAGTTAAAATATTGCAAATAAAAGTACTTAGACTATCTACATAGAGCATATTATTGAAGTTTATCAAAACTCACCTGTTGATACCTAAACTGATCATTCCCATGGTTGTAATCAAAACTCTGATGGAAATTGCCATTACCATGGATATAATCATATGACTGATTTTCCTAAAAGGGAAAATTAAGACATAAATACAAAATGATGAGACCTAGCTGCCAATTGAGTACTATACTTAAATTCATAAAGTCTAGGTACCAAAGAAGAAAGCTCATCAGAACAATTACCATGAAAATATTCATAGAAAACGCAGAGGGAAGCTATATCATGGTGGTGGGAATGTGAATGAAATAGGGATGCCAGGTCAGGACCAATAACATTGCAGATTGTTCTCTGGATTTTATCAACAATCTCTAAATATATAGCAGAAGCATAAGATCAGATGTGACAGCAATATTCAAGACATGGCTGAATGCTAGACTTATAAATTCTGACAAACATGACATAGTGAACCAACTTTCCTAGCAATTGATTCAATATAATCTTTCCACTTCATGTGAGTGGAAAACCATAGCCCAATAAGGATCAACATCAATCTTCTGGAGATTAGCTTTTCCTGGATATAAACAACAAGGCCATGCACATGTATCCTTTTCAACAAAGAGTAAGATAGCTTGGAACCAAGAATTCAGTTCAAGTTGCCACTTAACACATGTCCTTATTTGTTGCAACCTATATGTTATTTCAGGTATCTCATATGGATACTTTTATACTGCCATGAAAAATTCTTTTAAATCAGAAAAGAATTATGTGACATTCTTTTTAGAACTGTTTTCACGTTTGTTTTTGTTTTGACCTCCCAATTTCCTCAGATTCTACTGTCATCTATTGCAGAAAGATATTTGCCACCATCATTTTTGAAGTTCTATTTTTATGAAATTATTGGAACTAATGTTCAGCTGGACATACACTGATAGTCCCCTACTTGGTTGATGTTACAAGTGATTTCCACTGTTTTACTCAAATTTCCTTCCTTCACACTATTTACAGTCCAAATAAACTAAATGAAAATAAAACCCAATGTGGTATTGCCATATTTTACAAGATTCTGTAAGCATATACCAATTTAGAAAGCATTTTTAAAATACTTCTGCAGAGATTATTAGAAGAATTTCAATACAGAAACATGATTACCTAATGCAACAGATAAAAATGTATTTTTACTCTGCCACTATTAAAGTTTCATGAATGGAAACAATGACATTTAAAATAATCATAGTGACTAAATTATCAACTCTAATTTAAAAATACATACTGCACTAAAATATTAATTGCCTCACTTTCCAACAAGACTAAATCTATGCATGTATAAGAAAGTCTGAAATAAATGACTCGTATATAAACTAATTTAAAAGGACAAACCTCTTTTTCTTGTATTAGGAACTTTATAAAGTTTAGTAGTTCAGTTTAAATAAATAAATAATAATAAAGGGAAAAGATGTGTACCAAAGCCTCGTTTGGATGCTAACAAAAAGCTAATAACAAATAACTTACTTCATGTTCTGAGACAGGATGATGTTGCATGCTCCAAGTAGGGGGAGCAGCACCTTGATGTTGAGGAACATTCCAATTACCAATATTCCAGTTCCAGTCCCCAGGTGGTATTGTTTGAGTTGGTGGAGGCTGGTTCATCAAAGGTAAGTTAGAGGTCATCGGTTGATTGGGAAGAGGTGTCACATTTTTATAGCCTAGAAAAGAAAATTATTAAAACATAAAATTTATATTATTTTCAATATATCTTTATTGAATCAATTTTAAATTATACAATTAAACTATTTACACACATTATGTACTTCAAAAGTAATTTTAATAAATCCACAAATAAAAAAGGTACACTTGAAAAACTTTTTAGTAGTTGTTAGATAAAAATGCGATACCAAATAATTTTCTTGACTGTGCAAGGTTTGTTATTTGCTTAGTAATCTTTATTATCCATTTTTTGCAGTGCTGATAATTTCATGGAAATATTTCTTAAAATTAATATGTAACAATATTTAACATGGCATATGGACGAAAAGGGTTAAAGAAAACGATTTTATTTTTTTTTGGTCAGAAAGGGATTCATTTTTTCAGGATATTGAGAACAGGTTGGAAAAAAACAGAATACTATTGTTGCTGCCTGGCGAGAGACAGTGGACGGGTACAGGGGTCAGGGGCCAGAGGTAAAAGTCATCTGTTGAAAGGCGTCAATGTCTACATACTGGGAAAATTATCAGCCAAAATTTCCTGAGAAAAAAATTATAATTGTAAAAACAGAATTGTGAAGGCAGGGGAAGACGTCAAGAAGGCTGACCTCATATAATGGCTCCTCCTGGAAGGAGGAGGATCTTCCAAAATTGGAAGTGTGAAACAGAAAACAAAAGGAGACTGGTTGAAGTTTAGGAGATTTGCATAAAACTCCCCTATGCGCCCACACCACACCAGTTGGAGGGGACACCCATAAATAAAAGTGCCCACGGAAGCTAAAGTAGTTGTAGTTAGCTGGAGTTGAAGTTGCGGCCCAGAGTTGCAGAAGCCGCATCGGGAGTTAAGAGATTTTTTGCCATAATGCTTTTTTGCCAACCTAATGATAATAATCTGCTGAAGAAAAAAAAAAAACTCCGATGATATCCTTGTGCCATTTTTGAAAGTACAAACAACAGTACTTGAAGTTAAATCCAGTTGTTGCTGAAGAAAAACTCTGACGATAACCTTGTACCATTCTTGAAAGTACAATGAACAGCACTTGAAGTTAAATCCAGTTGTCAAGTCTGGCCACCCTTAGAGAAGTTGGCCGAAATTTTCGTTCAGTCGCCAGATATTAGAAACAGGTTGGGAAAATAAAAATAAAAGAACTGTAAATATTTTTTTTTTATTTTGATATAAATATTATCTAGTGACTTATTCAGGCGTCGTTTATTTTATTTTCAATTCTGTGTGCGCATATTCAACTTTGGTTTAGCTTGGTTGAGATATCCCAGTGATAATTCAGCTTGACCCTCTTAAGATCAAAAATCACAACATAGGTAAGAGAGGTCATAGTTGAAGAGGTCAACTTAAAGACCAGCTGCTGTGCCAAACGCCACCAACGACTGACGATTGTGGGCTGACGGCTTGTTCTCCGATACCAGAATCGAACCTGACCAAAGACAGCAGGTTGCGGCCCTGGCTACGCCGCCATAATATAAATATTACTTGATTATAAAGATTTTTAAACTAAATTTAAGAAAATGTTCAGCTGGAAGACCGTAATCTAAATTTGATTCAAGTAACAAACTCATTCACATAAACAAGTAGAATTTGAATTTGGTATTTTATGCAGCAGATAAAAGGAATCTATTCATGAAAATTGATATAAAAGTAGTAAACTGAAAATTTTAACTCACTTGATTCACGACTTCCACCTTCATTTTCCCCATCTGATATGTCCATTTCATTTTGGGTTTCACCAGATATCTGTGGATGCAATGGCTGTAAAGGATGGGGTATATGTTCAAGTAACAGAGGTTGTGGGGGACCAGTCCCACCTGTGCTTGTTCCTGCAGCACTTCCTGTATTACTATCAGTTTCTCTTACTCCTTCTGAACTCCCTTCAACTACATTAGGAGGCTTTACTTCAGAAGGAAGAGGTGGATAAGGAGGAGGAGGAGGAGGAGGAACTGAATGCTGCTGTTGAGCCTGAGGAATCTGTTGTAAGGGTGGAATTTGCTGCTGCTGCTGTGGAGGTAGAGGTTGAGTAGCATCTTCACTAGCCCCTGATGACATTGCTTCCTTCTGAGCAATCCACTGTTTTGCCAGCTCAGCCCAATCAACTAAAATAAAAATTTTAAAAATATAAATTAATACTAAGTAATAAAAAAAAAAAGAGAACGTTTACATAACTGATTTACCCAACAGTCAAAGTTATATATAATTGTTTGAAAACTATTATCTACAAATATTTAACTAGGTACCTCTAATAATTCACTAAAAAATCAGTATAGCATAATGATAAAAGGCCCCAAACTTAATAAAAACAGAGTTTTATCATTAAAATGTTTATGTTTTAAGAGGAAAGAACAAAATTTTTTTTTTTTTTTTTTTTTTTTTTTAATTATTTTTAAAATTTTTTCCCTTTCTAACACGTTCTAAATTTGGGTAAAAAAAAATTTTTTTTTTTTTAAACTTTGTACTACTTGTTGTAATGACCATTTTAGTGTAGCAATTTCCAGAGGGGAAAACCCATTAATTTGGAAATTCTTGCAAAAAAAAAAAAAAAAAAAAAAAAAAACCAACATCTGTTATCCCCCTATAACTTAATTTTATGAAATTTTCTAGAATTTCAAAGTTCGCAAACTGTTTTAAATTACTTATAAGCAGGACTCCTTGGGGAAATTAAGTTATCAATTTTTTTTTTCACAACTATTGCCAATTTTTGAAAAATCTGCTCCAAATCGTAAAATAAAAACTATAAAGTAGAATTTATCTGGCATGATTGTGCAAATCGATAAATCTGTAGGTTAGTAAGTTAGAAGAAATGGTCTTAAAAATCAGAACTCCACTCAGATTCTGTAACAAAATCAGAATACATGATATGACCCAAAAAGACAAAGAGTATAGCTTGATTTCCAGCAATATAAGTGCCCGATTTTTTATCCAACAGATAAAACTGCTTTAAATCTTAAGATGCTAACTAGCATCAATTGGTTTTACTTAAATTATATGAGTGTAATATACTCCTTCCTTTTTGCTTATGTAAAGATTAGCATTTTCAATGATAATCTTTGAATGCAGTAAAGTTCAAACCAACTAATGCATCTACTTTCTTTGTAACCAGCGAGATTTTTGCTTTTCAAGTAATTTGTGGTTAGTGTTTATTGCCAACCGTTTCATTAATATAAATTGATGGCACTGATACTTTCATAATTTTTTTTTTTCGCTTGATATCTAGCTGGTGCGTGTAAATTCAGTGAGATAATGTGAAATGAGATAGTTCATACCATAATGGATAAAAGGAACATTAATAAGTTTCAACAACATTGGAGAGGAACTGAAAGATTTAAAAAAAAAAAAAAAAACAACAAAGAAAAGAAATAGCATACCAAATAAAAAAAAAAAAAAAAAAAAAAAAAAAAGAATGAGAATAAATTACCAAATTTTAAACCAAATGGTCCAAGCTATAAGAATGAAGCTACCAAGATGTTAGATGATAATTTACAAGAGATCTGGTTAAGTTATGAATGAGACATTTGAGAAAATAACTGCCTTTAAATCTATAGGTTTCAATCTGCATAGTGATTAGATATAAGAAGCTTATATATGTTCATCTTGGAAACAGATTTTGAATTCTAATTGAAAGTAATGTTTTTGTGAAGAAATTCTAGAAATGGAGAGATCACATGACTTCCATATTAAAAATTATTAACATGTACAAATGAGTTTAGCAAGATAAAAAGGAAATTAACACAAACATCAACCAGGACCTTTTTGTTTCCTTTTTGATGAAAAAGGAAACAAAAAGGTACTGGAAATCTCCCTATGGAGCCTGTAAAAATTAAAATGCCAACAAGAGAAATATTTGGGTCATGAACTTGCACACTGTCCTCAAAAACAAAAAGTTCCGTAATAATTTTTCAGATTCCAGCTTAGAGGCAAACTTTAGCAGTAAAACTGAAATTGAAAGATTAAATAGCAATTAGTTTATTTTAAGCAGTGGTCATTAGAACCTTGATGACTTTTCAGTGTGCAGAAAGACATTTATATTTGATAAAATAAATACAAATGTTTTTTTTTGTTGTTGTAAAAATAAATCCAATTGAAATGATTCAACTGGATTCTTTTCTAGAGATCTTCAGATGAGATTTGTTCAGTGCCAATTTTATTACTAGTCTATTATAACAAATAAGGATAGTCTCCAAAAATTATAAAATAGTAAAAGCCCATCTGAAAACATCAGACAAATAAACAAATATGCAAATAATTATATAAAATACTCACTCTCTTCACTGGGCATATTCGCATATGCTGACTGCTGAAGTGGCCATGCACCCCATGGATGAGCCCACATGTTTTCACAAACAGCTACAACCAATGAAAAATAAAGTACTTTAAGAATTTATATATTTACAAGTCACTTAAAACAGTATTTAAAAACAATCTAAACAGAAAATAGCTATTTAAAATGTAATTTAGTGTTGATACAAATGACTTCACTTCAGTCCTAACAGGTATCCTAAACCAGCCTAGTTTAGTGGAAAAATGGGTCAAAATAATAAATTTCCTTAAAGTTCAACTGGCAATATCTAGTATTTTTTTAAGTTATTTCAATAAAATTAGTATGTTAAGAAAATTGAATGTTTCCTCTTTATAAAGATAAAATTTTCTGCTGTGATAATTTTTATTCCAGGCCTCTCTAAATGAGGTCACATTTCAGTGACAGGCACTTCTTTTTTTCTGCATTTTAAAGTCAAGAGAATTTTATATTTATGATTTGATTTGAAATTTGTTGTGCGTTTCTACACACATCAAAATAGTCCCAACTTAAAGAAAAGATGATGCTCATCAATTTGGTGAGTTTAAAATAAAATCTAAGGTTATTTTTCACAAAAAATTTTGAAAACTTCAGTGGATGAAATAGAGAAATACACTTAAAAAAAAAAAAAAAAAAAAAAAAAATTAATTACACCTTATAGAGCAATGTTCCATATCACTACATCCAACCAACTTGAAGTGCAAGCAAATATTAAAAAAAAAGAAGGTATTTTTGAATTTGCCAGCTACCCTGACTGACATCTCTTCAGCTTTTAAATCCAATTTTTTTTCATCGATGGACATTTCAGTTTCTAGGCGAGTTTAAATCTTTTTCTTATATTTCCTATGCTTATTCAAAAGTTGTGTAATTAATTAGGCATTAAAAAATAAACTAGAAATACACATTTTAATTAAATTTTACATTCATATTTGTCCATAGAAAAGAAAAAAAAAAATTGTGTGCATAATATAATGTAAATTTTTAATGTGCATATATAAATCTCATAAAAAAGGAAAATTTGTATATGTATATATATTTATAATTTATTTTTATAAATTTTGCATTTGTGTATGTAAATTATAATTTTGAAAATATTAAAATTTTATATTTGCTCTTTAATTAATTTGGGGTATTAGCTTTTAATTTCACAGATTAAATTGAAAATTTATTTAAATTATTTTTAAATATAAATCTATACACTTTATAAAAAATAAAATAATAAAAAGATATATTTTTCAGTTGAACTACTATTGTTGGCCTGTAAAAATTATATATATAATTTCTAAAATTAAACTTTTTTTCTTTTAAATTTTAAATGGATATTTCTTGGAAGATATTTTTTACTTTTAGCACCAGAAAATATTTTTTTTACTCTTCTACCAAATTTATTTATTTTGAATAATTCATTTTTGGTAATTAGTAAATATTATATTTTTAACTTTGAAAGTAGGTTTTATTTTATGGTAATTTTTTTTTTTTTTACTTTTAAGCAGATTTTTAAATTTTAACACCTAATTCAACAATAACAATTTAAGAGCAAACGTAGCCATTACCAAAAAGGACGTAACTTTAAAATTTCATTTATTTTTATATAAATTTGTTTTATTTTTTCTTTATAAAGTGAAAGCCTAAACTTATAAAATTTAAGACATACATTTTTTTTGTAAAACATTTTTTTTTCTCTGCTTTTCCTGATATTAAATGTATATGCAGCTATTATTATCACTGTATTTTCATTTTTAAACATTTACAAGTCAAACAATATATAAAAATATATTCTAAGTTAAAGAAAATATCATAGAAAGATTTGCAGTATTGCAAAAATTTTAACAAATTACTTACAATTACTGCAAGAGTATTCATATTTATTCCTGGTGTGTAGATTATATGAATTAAAAATTAATATGTATTTTAACAAATGTTCATAAATAAGATAACTTCAATTGGCATCACTATAGGATCTAGCATAAAAAATTCTAATTACATCTCCAAAATTATTGGTTAGAAATTAACTAGTTTTAGAGAAAATGAATATACCCTATGTGTTACTTTCAGAAATAATTGCAAAAGAAATTAAACACTATCAGCAGCAGAACACAGACAAATAACAGTAAGGCAAATTAATGTCAATGGCAGGCAATTCAATAAATCTTTGTCATAAATCTATTTTTTTTTTTTATATATCATTTAACCCTAAGCAAGGCATCATAGCCACTAAGGTGCAGGGAGTTACTGAGTGTGAATGAAAAACATTAAGGAGTGAGAACAATAAATGAACAAGAATTAAGACAGAAGACAACAATTGACATTGCATGTAAATTTTTAAAGATCAAACTTGAATGGAAAGCAAGAAGCCGGAAGAGTTCCACAAGCAAGTGCAAGAAAAGAAACTTAGCATAGAACTTCTGGTTACATCTAGACATTTCAACTGTAAAATGATGAGATCTTGCCACTAATCTAGTACTACACTTATTCATAAAATCTAGGTACTACAGAGGAAAATTTATCAAAACAATTACCATCATAGTATTTATAGAAAAAGCCCAGGAAAGCTATATTATGGCAGTGGGTGACTGATGCTGAGATGCCAAGTTAGGACTAATGACATTGCAAATTCTTTGAATTTTGTCAAGATCTCTAAATATATAGCAGAAGTGTTGGACCATATGTGGTAGCTATATTCAAAGCAGGGTTGAATGGTAGACATATATAGGGAAGATAGATTTGGGCAAGAAAAATTGTCTAGCACGACACAGCAAAGCAATTTTCCTAGCAGCAGACCCAGTGATTGATTCGATATACTCTTTCCACTTCATGTGAGTGGAAAACCATAGCCCAATAAGGATCACAAATTAAAATAAGATTCAACTTAAGTGAAATCATTGCAGGCATGTTGAACAAATTTTGAGAGATTCTTACACAAACTTTTAGGAAAAAAAAAAAAAAAAAAAAAAAAAGTGTTGTTAATCACAAAAATATTAAATCACCTCAACTACTGCTCTACTTTATCTTGGTGTTCAAGGTTGAATGTTTATGTGAAGTCAACGAGCCCATACTTTTCATACTTTTTCAAATATTGTCCTTAGCTTTAAAAATCCACACTTGGCAAAAGAAAATATTTGAAACTTCATCACTATTTAAAATACATATTTTATTAAATTTATTTTATTAAATGACAACAGACATAATATTATGGAGTGCATTTAATAAGAATTGATTGAAAAACAAAGTTGCTATGCTTCATTTCAATTGTACAACCATTTGCTTGGAAATTCTAAAATTGCTATTTACATCTTCAATTTTTTCCAGTATTTCATCAGATAGTTTTAGCAGTTGGTCAATTTTGAATTGCTCAACTTGATGGAACTATAAACAACATTTTCAACCTTGAGTATGAAAGATCAATTTCTTACTATAGAGTACTTCACTATTAGACTTATCAGATTCAAACCATCAAAAAGGTTCGTCTTCAAGTCCTTGATGGTCCATCTTGAAAGTTTTCTTCTGAATAAACTTTTATTACATCTTTGCTAAGGTCCTGTTTTAGTCATCATTTCCTCATAGTTATATGCTTTTTTTTTTTTAAATTTCAGTCCGTTTCTACTGAAACAATATCTGGTGTTCTCTCAGGTTCATATTGCATTCAGTAATCCTTCAGATGCATGTTACACCTGGCATCTCCTCAGATGTCTCCCTCCCTACTCCTAATTGACAAACAAGCAAACAAGAGTGCACCAAGTACACATGCTCTTGACACCTTATTATTTGCATTGAGATAAAACAAGTGATTTGAGCATTGGATTAGAAGAGTGGGACAAATTAAAAAAAAGAAAAAGAAAAAAAAGAAGACCAACTCCCACCAACATTATGACAATGACTGGCAACACTAGAAAAGCAGTGAATAAATCTTCTCAGTGGAAGGTTTTAATTCAAGCAAATACATTTTCTCTTCATTTTCTGTGCTTTTGACATTAGTTGTATTGAATATGCAGAATACAAAATGTATACAGGATTCAGACTAACTTTTTCCACCAATGTCCTAAAAGACAACTTTGTCTCTAAGAAAATTTTAAATCATCCCAAAATAAAGATTTTTTTTAATCTGTTATCATTTGTAATTGTTAGTAGCAAAATAAAAACAGGAAAGTGTTTAGCAAAAAGTTAACTATTAGTCTTAAAAATGAATAAAAAAAAATTAAAAAATTTATTGTAATTTTTACACAAATCAACTATTTAAACATGTCAGTTAAATCACCTTAAATAATTTTATAGAGAAAAGTTATTAATTTTCATGCTCAAAGTAACTTTTATCATATTTTAAGAATTTTGCTTTATGCATTCATTTTCTATTTAAAGAACATTACAATTCAGCCAAAATGTTTGTAAAGTTTTTACCAAAAAGATTTTCATTTACAATTACCTGCCTTATATTGCTACTAAATTTTCCATGTTTATCATTTTTAAATTCTATTTTCAATTTAGTCTGTAAGCAGAAAATACAACATGAATGCTAATAGCAAGTGTTTTAAATAAAAGTTGACAGGAAAAAAACCAAAAAAAAAAAGTAATTTTCTTGCTTTGTCTATTAAAGCAAAATTTAGTTCTTACAATTAGGTTCTAATGTCTTTCACATTTAGAAGATATAAGACAATTATCTAAATTTAAATCCTTCAACCTCGTTTTCCATTTGGATATTATTTACCAGTTTAGAAAGAAGCATATAAGTCTTATTAATTTTTGCCACTATTGAGAAGAATTTTTTTATTTTAAGAAATTAATTTTAGAATAAATATAATAGAATTTTGTAATGTCCTGACATCATTCAAAAAAAAAAAAAAAAAAAAAACCTAGCCAGTCAACTCAAACTAACATTTTAATGTCCCAGAATGATATTGATCTCCATCCTGGTTTACATACAACTGGAAAATACTTTTCTGGTTTAAGTCACAAAGATCTGCACTTAGAATATATGCAATTCATTT